TCCCTACACTAGAAACTGAAGAAAATGGGTTTTGCTTAAGATATTACCATCCCTTGTACCAAGATATTGCTTGTTATATGTGAGCTATTAAATTTCAGCACCTTTCCAAAGATCCTGCTGTCGAAGATTCATGACCTGGCTCTCTGTATAGCTGGCTAAAGAGCACAGAGACATTTCAATGATGTGACACTTCCATCACTGTGACCATAATTTGCAGGTTCTGTGTTTGTACAGATGACCTAGATAGTTGTCATCTGCCCAGCATCTTCTGGAAAGAAAAGCATTTCTTGCTGCAGAGAGTGGAAAAAGAATATCAATATGATTTGTTGCTTTTTCTTCATTAAATAGCAAGCAGAAGTCCAAGAAGACAGCAGTGATGATGGTGAAGATGATGATGATGAAGTCTTTGGTTTTATAAGCTGCTTAAACTTAACAGAAAGGAAGGTTGGTATTCCTCATTCATGTCTAGACAGTGATAAGTGAGACTGCTTCCAGCTTTTTTGCTTTTATCACAAGCCTAGGCAGCTGGATCAGGAGTTTGAATTCCACCATGGAGGACTGTGCTTTTACAAGTTGCACAGCCCTTGGCTTTCTTTTGGATCTGGTCCTGCATAACACACTGAAGGTCAACTATAAATCAAAGAGTGAAATGGAGAGGTAAAACTAGGTCTGGGGTTACTGAGCTGTCAGCCTCCTGGGGTTTTCACTTCCCTCTTTCACAGCTTTTGAGTTTTGCTGTGGGGTGGACTGGTGTGCAGCTCCTAGCTGCCCTCCTGTCAGTTCAGAGCCTTTGTTTGCCCTCAGCTTCAGGGTTGGTAAATAATTCCAGAGAAATTGTACCTGTGCTTTTGAGGCTGCTTAAGGAAATTGCCAGCAGGCCTGTAGAATGTTCCTGTGAAGTTCACATTCTTGTGTAAATATGTTTTCTGTAAGGTAAAGAAAATACACCTTTTGCTCCTAGGGTACACCATGTGCTGAACAAATCAAAGAGCTGATTCTGAGTCGGTGTGAGAAGAGCTGTGAACAGCATGTAGTTGAACAGCTGGATAAGCTCCTAAATGACAGCTCTAAGCCTGTGGGTCTTCTACTCAGTGAAAGATTCATAAATGTACCACCACAGATTGCTCTGCCCATGCACCAGCAGCTTCAGTAAGTTTGTTGGCATTTTTTTGGACATGATGTGGAATAGTACTTTTTCTTCATGCTTCTTCACAAGTCTTATGTGTATGGAACTGTGTTAAGACAGGTGGTACTACAGGTATAAATAAGACATGAACAGAAAAACTTATTTTCATCTCATGCAAGGTCTTTAATTTTTTTTTTATGTATCTTTAGGCTTTTCAAACTCTTTTAAGATGGAGGAAATAATTTCAGAATACATGCTGTTCTACTGCAGAAGTAGCTGTGTGTGTGTTTATCTTTGTATTGCAGATTATTTCCATATTGATCTAGGAAAATTTAAAAAATGATAAATTTTTATAGCATGCTGATAACAAGCAACTTGGATGTTTCTGCTTGTGTGTTGATGTCTGGCCCTGGAATGGAAGATTTGAATTGAGAGACAGGCTTAGTTTGGATAAGGACCAAGCAAAGATTACTTTTTTCTTCTTTTTTTTCAGTTCTTTCATGTGAGGTGAGAAATCAGGTTAAGTTAACTGCCATCATGGCTTATTTAATCAATAAAACAGACCTTTAAGAAATGACAACTTTGGTAGGAAAGAAAGCATGTCAATAGGGTGGGTCAGGAAGGTTTTTAGAGAAAGGAATGAGGTGCTTGAAATAGTTTGAGGTTTACCCCTAAAAAAGCACTTGTTGCAACTGAAATTCAGATCTCAGCCTCTTTGCCTTGAAGATTTTGGAGTGTTGCAGTGGCAACATGTTTAACACAGGGGTGGACAAGAGTATTTTCTGGCCTTTCAGTTGCAGTTCCTCATGGAAATGGTAGTGTGATGCAGTTTCAGGAGAGTTGCACTTAGAATCAGTTCACAGATGCTCCACCATGAAAAAGACTCTGGGAAAAAAGGGTTATATAGCAATGTGTGGAAAAAAATTCATATTTTTATTGTTTTAAAGTGCAAATAGGATGTTTAAGTATGAGGAATGTGAATGCACAATTTATTTTCTGAGGCACTTGTAAAAGAATAGGCTGCTAATACATTAAGGTTTACTTGTAGAGAGTTTAAACTGTGTATGCAAATGTCTTTTTACATTGTATCTGTAAACATTTCTTTATCTTTAGGAAGGAGTTGACAGAGGCACAGAGAACAAACAAACCTTGTGGAAAGTGCCACTACTATCTTCTTATCAGCAAGACCTTTACAGAAGCCACAAAGAGCAAGTCTAAAAAGAGGGAAGGGAAAAATCAGCAAAAGGAGGAATTAATGTTTGCAAATGCAGAAGAAGAATTCTTTTATGAGGTAACGTGATTAATTTAAGATGTTTGGTTTTCTTTACATTCAGAAAACAAAGGGTTTCACCTTAAATTGAAGGAGGACTTTAAAAAATTTGTGGTCATGCACCTTTTAAATTAAATTCAGCTTCCTTAGAGTAGGTTTGAGAAATGAGCAAGCACCTTGGTTCTGTGTATTGAACACAAACACCTTTTGAATTTAGAGAATCATAGAGAGATGATTTTAGCATGAATTTACTAATATGTTACTCATACCAGGTTACAGTTCCTTTGACTATGAGATGGTGTGGCACAGAGAGCCTGAGGATCTCCAGTGCTATGGGGATAGCAGAAAAATTCGGAGAATACCTGAAATAAGCAGAGACTTTAGGGGAAAGATCAGGCTTTACTTAGTCTTGAGGCTAGTCTCTTGGCCTCAAAGAATTAACAACCTTCATCCCTTTACTCACATAGCAATGCTGAAGAGATTGAATTGAACCCAATTATTAACTTCTTGAAATACTGTGAATGGAACTTCCAGGTTTTTAGGAAGAGCAAACAGTAATAAATCTGGATATTGAATTTAACAGCATGTCCCAGGCCTTCAGAGTTTACAGGTGTTTGAAATTCCTTTTGTTGGGGGAACAGTGTGGTTGCCTGCTTTAAGCTGAATAATAAGAAATGTGAAAGACTTGGTAAATTGCAGTGTCAGCTGAACAGAGAAGGCTCAAGGTCTGCAGGAAGAGCAGGTTAGCTTAAATTAAATACAAGTGAAGTTTAAGCCAGCAAATTGCATCAGAAGCGTGCAAGAGTAGCAGCTCCAACAGGTAGTAACCTGTGAGGGTGCTGTAAGTTCATCATGTGTCAGCTTTAAGCACTTAGAAGAATAAAGATGCAAAAAAAATGGTGAGAAATCTCTCTGGGAAGATCCAAACTAGTAGCTATCACTTCCCTTTTCTGTCTCTCTTCTACTCAGGACAAGTATATTAATAAAAAGTGCTAAAATACCCATCTGAAAATATTACTTCCTATTTCCTAGGGCAACCTGTCTGCATCATTCTGCTGTTCCCAAGCCAGATCAGGGGAGAGAAAGATGCAGAAAATGAAGTTTAAAATTGTACTTTGAAATGCAAAGAATTTTTTGTTGTTATTTATATTTTTTTAGAGTTTGACAAATAGTATTCTACAGTATTATTGCCATTATTTTTCATTTCTGGCAGTGCCTACAGCATAAAGTACTCACACACTCTTCATGCAGCTCATGGCAGAGGTTCCTGTGTGTAATCATTATTGACATTCTCTGGTAGAAGCTGTAATATGGCTGTAATTTCATCTCTTATTTTCTTGGGAAGAAGAAAAGTCTAAGAGGGTGATTCCTTGTAGCTCCAGGGAATACTGTTGTAACCTCCAGGCAGTAACAAGTTTGGGATTTTCCCCTTGCATTGCTGCAACTGAACTGGAGCTCTCTGTAAACATGTTACTGGAACACAGAAGGGGAGAAGCTTGTGATGCCCATGTGTCCACAGGGGTCAGGCTCTAGAGAGCCTGTTTATATTTATCTCTGGTTTGTTATTTTGAGTGGCATTCTAAAGAATAATTGTGGGCTTTTCTCTCAATTGCAGTGATTTTCAAGTCAAGTGGATAGACTTAAACTGAACCTGCTTTTCTTTTTAACAGCCTTCCTAGTGGTTTTAACAAATTCATTTTAAAAGTTATACAGGATATTAGATGAAGTGGGTCTCAGTACTTAATAATGTATGTGTTTAAATTAGCATTGGAGTGTATATCCTCCCTGATCACACATAACCTTAATTAGATTGCCATAAAATAGCATTAAATATGGTGAGGCAGACACTTGGAGCCATATAAAACTGAGAGAAACCTTTTTGCTTTATTCTATTCCTTAATATGTTATTGAGGGAGTGGAGGAAAAGTTTGTTATAGCCAGACTCAGAATTGATTAAAGGTTTAGGGCTTCCATCACTCAAATTGTTCACTCCTGAGCAAAGCCACTCAATTAATGTGATGGTTTTTCCAAAATTAAATCTACAAACTTGAGGTACTGTTAGTAAATAGCAAACCTAAAAAGGGACTGGATCTGGATTTCCCCTGCTAAGGGAAGAGGCTAGGTAAGTTTTTGTACTTGGGAATTCAGCTCATGCTTTTTCTGACTTGTGTGAGAGCTGGAAACATTTGTTAGGTGGAGTTTCCTTATCCATCAGGCACTTTCTCTGGGAAAGCTAATAAAAAGGGACTGTTCTATCTGTGCACAGTATGTAACACTGAAAAGAAATAATCCACATTATGGACACCTACCTATTTGGAGAAGCATCCTTTATAAATGTGTCTTTCAGTATCCCCAGACATCTGGAGGCTTTCCAAGAGCTGTTTGAAATTCTCCTCAGGATTCATATTGATGCCCATCCCCTCAGTATTTAATTTCACCTGGCAGTGTGAAAGAGGCAATTCCTGTGCTGTGTGTTCTTCCAGAGAGGTTAATTTTTAGGACTCTGAGCTGTTCTAGAGTAGGCCCTGGAAAGAGCAGAGCCTGTTCAGTGCTGCACACCTTCCAGGTGTTGCCCACACCCCGGTACCTTCTTCAGTGCAGGTTCTATTCTACCTGCACTCTCTCCCTGGCCTTTTATCTGGGTTTTGGCTGATCTGCCAGTTCTCACATTACACACCCAGTGGTTTGCTTTTGTTGCAGGGCTGAAGGCCTATTAAGAGCCTTATATTCCTATTAATGATCAAGAATTGCTGCTGGTTGGCACAATAGCTTCTGAGGGTTGGCATTTTTTAATGTGATAACATGGAATGAGGTGCTGGCTTGAAACCATCTGAAATGAGGCACATAAAAGGGGCATTGATTTTTTCCTTTTCTTTTTCCACTTAGTTTTTTTTTCAGATACCAAACTATAATGATAGCAATCATTTTAAAATTTAATATGAATTATATAAATTCTATGGAAAGCAAACAGTTTAAAACACTTAATAGCAGGTTCTTTGCAGGGCTTTTTTTGGTGGACCTTTTGAGAGGGAAGAAAATAACTTCTTAATAAGCATGTGTATAAAAGGATCATTATTTTTACATTGTTTAGAAGATGTATTATCTTCGTGCTAATTAAAAAAGTAATCTTAATGCTTTTCTTCCTGTTCTTTAGAAAGCCCTTCTGAAGTTCAACTACTCTGTGCAAGAGGAGAGCGACACCTGTTTGGGTGGCAGATGGTCCTTTGATGATGTGCCAATGAAACCTTTGAGGACTGTTATGATCATTCCAGCTGATGGGATTCATGGAATTATGGATAAACTCAAAGACTATCTCTCACTCTGAGCTCTCCCACAGATACTGGTTTTTGTAAAGCAGCCATGCAGAACTCTGGCTTGACAGTACTTTTGGGAAGACTGCTATTGAGTTAATGGTTTTGACCTGCTCAAGAACTTCCTCTGTACACTTAGAAGAAAAGCTGGTACAACTAAAAATATCCATCACATGAATATTTTAAAATACTGTATTTTATTATGCTTTGGTATCATCAATAAGCAGTCAATAAAAACCCAATGTTACAAGAAAACATCAAGATCTGCTCAGTATATTTTTTAACCAAAAATCATGTGTTTTTGTTACAAAATAATGGGTGCAACTCGTTTTCTTAAGAGAATTGCCTTCTCTGTGTGTTTCTGCTGTTAAACACATTTATATCAAAAGTGTGAAATAATTACATGGGCTGAGATGGGGATGTGTATTGCTTGTACTGCTTTTATTTATATTTGCCCCATATAGGATAGTTCAGTCTAAAATCACTGAATAATACATCGTTGTTCAGTGGGAGTTTGGGGAAATGTTTCATCTTCTTTGCTGTCATTGTTAGTTTTCTGTTCCTCCTTCATGCTTGAAACAGGTGACAAGTGATTGATCACTTCCTGCAGAATATCCTTACTTTCACTAGGAGGAAGATTGCTAAAATAATACTGAGGTACCAGTTCTGCAACTCTGTTGAGGAAATAAGACAAAATATTATTGTTTTTAATTGAGTTTTGAAATAACTTGAATAGCTGTACAGGCTAGTGCAAAAGACATCAGCAAAGTGCTGATATCTACAGCTACAAAGTGGATATTTCAACTCAAACCCAAATGTAGTAGTAGTTTCTGCTTTGTGTAGATTTGCTCTTAATGTCCTCAGTCTGAGCTTTGGGTAATTGTCATTCAGTTCCCAATGCTGCAGATGGCATTAAATAGTAATTTTTCTGGATCTGAATGTGTTTTGGTTCAATAAAATTATGAAAAGGCCTTTCTTATAAACATTGGAAATAGAAAAGATAGGACTGTGAAATGTATATTCTCAGTGTAAAGAGATTTTTGCAGAAGCAAGACTGTAGTCTGGAATCCATAAACAGTTGATATGGGATGATTTAGCTGGCTGGCTACATAAAACATGTCAAGAAAAAGATTTGCTGGAAAATAGCTTTTCAGGGAACAAAGAAATTTCCAGCTAGATTAATCTGAGTACACTGCTGTGTTAACTTTTCCTTGATACTTTTTTCCTGTCTATTTTACTTTGTCAGAAACTTTTTGAACTTGTGAGGTGTTTTTTTCAGGGAATGAATTCATCAGTTACAGTGGCAGACATTGAGATTTACTTCAGTACCTGAACAGATCAGCACACCTTAGGAAATACAAAAGACTTGATTTAAATGATGTTTTGTTTTGCATGAGAAGAATAGTAAGAGCTTGAGATCCCAGCTCTTCACAGTGAGTGTTCTGAATGAGAATGAAGACATCAAGCACAGCTACACGCAGTGACAAAACAACACTGGCAACACAGAAATAAAATTTATCCCAGTGAATATGAAAAGTGTGAAAAGCAACAATTTCTTCACCCTTCAGTGATGCCAGCTCCTCTTGCTTGACTAGGTATGAAGATTGCCCTTTCCTCTTATGCCTATTTTACTGATTTTTTTAATTTTTATTTTATTTTTTTTAAACCAACATCAGCACCTAGATTGAATCCGTTATGCTTGGAATATTTTGTTAACAGAAGCAGAAGATAGCTATTTTTATGGCAGGAAAAGGAGAAGATGAGCAGAGGGTACTTCTCCAAGCATTGCCCTGAGTGCACACACACATCCTTGCCCTGTTTGTGACTTAGGTTATGCTTTTGTGGTAGAGGAATAATGAAGACACAGCTTCATCATTGTTGACTTACAGGTCAGGTGATATCTCTGAGACGACCCTGATGGAGTTGTCTTCTGATACACTGAACTCATGGAACAGAACCCACTCAGGAATCCTCTTGGTGTTTGAGTATGATGAGAAAGGATGAAGCTGGGCCACTTGTCTGTGTGTTAACATTAAGTAGTTACCTGAGCCATCTACATCACGAGCAATCTGAAACAATGCAAAGAGTTCTCCATTATTTAACATATGTGGTGCATAGATCAGTGTCTGCTATTATATTAAAACCAGGAATTAAACTTGTATTCAGACACTTTCAACTGGAGAGCCTAGGCCTCTTCCCAAATCTCTGTGGGAAAGCTAGAGGCTGTTTACTGTGAACTAAGGCTTAAAGAAAATGTCAATCTGTATATTTGAAAGGAAACTGTCTGCAACAAATGGGTGCAGGCTCATACATTAAGTGTCTGGACTTGACTTGGAAGGGTCTGTGTGAAAGCAGATGTATTCTTAAAGAATTCTAAGAGTTTAAAATACAATGTGGCAGGGCACTTGAAGTAGCATAGTTTGCAGGGGTCATTCTTGTCTTTAGGTGGAGGAAGAGTATAAGTGTAGCCCTGTCCTGGACCATCTGGTGGGATCCTGAGAAGTCATCATCATGGTTTGCTGTTTGAACCTCTGGAGTCACCCTCCTCTCAGTTATCCTAAAACCTCTGACTTTCTGCATCTGTGATGCATTAAGATTTCAATAGCAGCTTTTGCAGAATGACTGAGTTCTAAATATCTGGGGTTTATGTTTGAAAGCTCTTGTCACATCAAATGAAAGAAGTTCTGTGATGTGAGGGAAAGAATGTTTTCAAGTGGGAATAAATCTTGTTTATGTTTACAGTTACAATTAGAGCACCTCATCTGGTTGAGGTGAAGAAAGCTAGATATTATGTATACCTAAATATATTCAACAAGTTAAATGTTCATTTCCAGGGTATTCTCACAGAACCATCTTCAAAAAGGGAATGAAGTCTAAGAAATAAATACTACAAGTTAAAGAGTCTGTGGAGGTCAAAGAGTCCTTTCAGTGAAAGGCATATTGACAGTTTTCCTCTTGCAGTGGAGTGTGATAGCTGAACCCCAGAGAAAAGACTGGAATTGGCAGAAGTGTTGGATACACTGGAAAAACAGCTTTTATCCTTGGTGAGGATGGAGAGATTTCACTACCTAACCTAATTTCTTTGAGAGCATTCTATAAAACTTAACAATGCAGTAAGACGAAACCACAATATTTTTTCCTTACGTGCATAAAGTAACCAGATAAGAGAGATTTCTTGATGCTCAGTATATTTTCCTCTGATCCAAAGTCTGGTTTTGAAATGGGAAGTTCAATACGCTTCATAATCTCTACCAGTTCAGCTCTGATAATTTCTGCCATCCTCAGTGCAGAACAGCTTAGAAAATAATCACGACACCATTTCTCATTACTGTAGTCTGTGGAGGAAAAGAACAGTATTTTGGCTTAAAGCAAACTCTTAGTGATAAGTACCATCCACAGAGATAGTGCTCTGTAAAATACTCTTTGACTGCTGCAACAGATAAAAACATTTTGGGGCAAGTAGCTGTGTCAGAGCTGTCCAAGATTCTGATAACAAGAGCCACATGGGACAACTTAGGCTCCTTGATGTTGCTTGTGAAGTGAGTGGACAATACTTGATATCCTGACTTAGTTTTATAGACTTTAAGCTATATCTTTCTGAATAAAAATACTCATAATCCCTTATTTGATCTGTAAAAAGTAATAGCTTCAAATTCAATGTGTAGCAACTCGTATTTTCAGGTTTTCTGGATTCAGGCCAGGATATGGAACTGAAATCACACCTGCAGTGCTGGTGCTGAGTGTGAATGCTGGTAGGACAAGTTCTTTTGGATCTCTGCAGAATTCAGCATGACTGAACATGAAATAGTCCTACAGTCCTGTCCTAAGTTCTTAGTATGTGCAAATCTATCTCTCTGAGACACTCAAGCTAAATCCACTTGGGTGAAATGTTTGAGCAGAGGAAATTGCTGTGAGGAGCTTCTGTCTGCTGGGCAGTCCCCTGGCTTTCCTGTAAGTATGAACTTAGATTTCTCCCTGCAAATAAAGCACTCTAGAAGGAATCATTCAAACAGAGTTTACAAACTATGGTTCTATGAACTAGACACTAACAATGACCGTTCAGAGTTCTGTTCTGTTGTTCCAAACTGGTTACAATGCCCTTCATTTTCCCCAGTACAAGCACACTTACATTGGCCTGTGGAGTTTGAGCTGGCTTCCTTGAAGGCGTTGAAGATGTTGATGAGAGTGAAGTGGTCTCCTGCAGGATGTGAGAACTTTCTCCAGCAAGTGAGAGCAATCTCTTCTGTCCCAGGAGGAGCGTGTAAGAAGCAATTAGGAGCTTAGAAAAAAATCAAGCCAGGGGTTACTAAGACACGTAGGTAAAAGCACAAATAGTGACTCCACTGGTATTTTGGGTTATTTTTCTTTCTCAGCTCCCTTTAATCTTCAGAGTTGGTTTGGTGCTGCACAATTGATCTGTTGCATTCACTAAGATTTTGTTTATGTGGCTGCTGTTTCAATCTCAGTTAATTTGTGCTGTAAACCTAAAAGCAACTGAGCAGTGTTCTCCTAGACTGGTGCCAAAAATACTTCAGAGTGGCATGATCCAGTTTACCCCGAATCCAAGTGCATGTTTTCTTTAATACAGAAACTAAACCTGTGGATGTAATGCCTTATTTGCACCTGGATGCTGAAATTTGTGCTTTCATATCCTTTTTACTCCTGTCATGATACTGTGCTGCATAATGGTGTCTTTTGAGGTTGGGCTATTTGAAACCTAGCCTGTGCCTGTTCTCAATTTTTTACATTTGTTTATGTACTTACACTTTTTGTCACAAGTGTAGGCCCATTATGAAAAATCAAATCAGCTTGGGTGTGAAATCAGGCTGTTCTCTTAAGATTTCAATAGCAGCTTTTGCAGAATGAGTAAGTTCTAAATATCTGGGGTTTATGTTTGAAAGCTCTGTCACATCAAATGAAAGAAGTTCTGTAGTTAACAGCCTTCCAATATAGATGTTCTTGCTCCAGACTTCACGTGTCCAGTCTTTGGGGCCAGCTGGCTTGTCTCCCAGTGCCATGGAGGAGCAGAGAGACCCATCAGGACAGAATGGTAGGGATACTTAAGTTCACATTAGTTTTATAAAATATTTGAAATGGGGAAACAAGATTGCAAGTAA